CCAATCGTATTTCTTACCCAGAGTGGCTCAGACATGAACGCGAAAAACTCAAGAAAGTCACTCGTCACACCATCAAATTACATAATTTGATTGGAAGACTCAACCACAAAACTTTGAATCAGTAATTCATTGTCTGTAAGTCCATCGAATGCACCATTCAAAACACCTTCATCCTCCTTGACACGCCGAACTTGAATGCTTTTGGTTATATAATTAAGGTGAGTTCGTGAACTTGCTCGAAGAATGGGATACCTTACCAAGATTTGAAGCTGGCAAGCTGCAGGCTGCAACAATGACGATTCCGGCCTGCTAAATGTGCCAAATGCTTTTGGTAAAGGTGAGCTCATGCATCATGAACTTGCGCAACTGAAAAAATGGGATAGCTTACCAAGATTTGAAGCTGGCAACTGCACGCCTCTGCGGCAATAACTGCCCGAACTAGCCGACACAAATAAACAACGGCTAGCCCTACCGGAAGGTGAGGCACCTTGGATGGGGATGGGATCCTGGAGCCCGACATGGCTGGCGGTCAAGAAGAGAGTAAATGTGGTTGTGGCATCTTGGTGATTCTGACGCCATACTCATCGCTCGCAGGCCCATCTCGTCTTCGTCACTGCCCACCACACCCGAGAAACCGCAACAGCATTGGTGAGGAAGAGCAGAAGACGCGGCATGGCATTTCCCAGAGGTTCCGCCTAGCCAGTCCGGACACAGACAAGGACGCCAGCTTTGCGACAACTAGCAGAAGCCTTGGCCACGACCCAGCTTTGCGACAACTAGCAGAAGCCTTGGCCACGACCCAGCATGTGCATGACAGGAGCCTAGGGCTGGTGGTTGGTGGGGAGGAGAACTTGGGCAGATGACTGGCTTAGTCAGAGTCTTCCAGTTAGACTCTGACAAATCACTGATCATATGACGCTGTGCCGTCACAGCGCCAGGACTTTCACCCCAACACAAGGCGGACGACAACCTAGGTAGAGAGGACGGCGGATGCGGCGGGGATCCGCGTGTCCGTACCACCGACTTCAATGTCCGGCAACTAAACAGCTCTACTCCTTGCGCTGAGAACCATTTGCTGGTTTGAACATCCAACTCGACGAGCCCTTCAATCAGCGCGTGGCCTCGCGTCGCTATGTGAAGCTTAGCGATGAATATTTCGAGCTCTGGTCCCCGAATGAGTCGGTGAAAGAGTTTCTAGCTGGGCTACCGCACCCTATAAACCATCTCCGTATGGACACCAACCCAGACTATCGACGACTCGACGGCTCCTGGGGACGCTTTGACTACATTAATCATCCACAGTATCTCGGTTCCAACCCTCCTTTCATCCCCTATATCCGTCGCGCTTATACTATCAAGAAAAACGACTACTTGTAATTATACATCGTATATGCCCCACTCATGGATTTCTGGGAGAAATCGACGAATCACCTAGGACGGGTTACCGCCAAGGGTATTCAACTTCTCCAGCAAGTCGTGAAAGCAATGCAAGGCACAATTCAAGCGTTGCTCAAGAAATCTACTACAACGAAGGAGGCTTCTTCATGTGTTCCGCTACCACCTACAACGGATATGTTGGAGAATTTGTCCCGTATTCGGTGGTGGGACGACGTCTTGGATGATTTTACGACTGTCCAAAGGCATTTACGACTTGATCATGAGCTATAGTAATCACAAAACACATTATGCTGCCTCCAACCAATAATTATAATTAATGACACGGCCAGCACCAGCGGGCACACGGAACTGCCCCAACCACCCCATCACTTCTCAAAGCGGACCAGTTCTGCTGAAGTGATCGACACCCTGCACTGCGTAAGCAACAGACCGTTGGGTCCCTACAAAAGACGTCCGGTCCACGTCCACACTCTTGGACTTCAACAACCAAGCTCGGACAGGTGACCCTTGTCCATTACGCGTCCTTAAGTGGGCTCGACATCTCCGCGCCACACCTATTGTCTATCTTCCTTCCAACGACAGCCAACTTCTCAATGATGGCGAAGTGGGACATGTACATTGTCCGATGGGGTAGTTGTCAATGTTCCTGCAAGCCTGATATATTCTTGAAGAAATGCATTGATTCAGCGTCTTGCATGACCTATCGGCCAGCCAGAGTGAGTGTCGCATGGCAAGTCTCTACATGGCGCGTGTTCATGGAAAGGTCCATTCTCCCGTCCACGGCGCATCCACAACCTCGTCCACGTCACACCTTATTCAGGGACTTGGACAACGTGCACGATCGACGTCCAAATGGATGTCCATATGGACGTGGACATCAGTAACCCCGACGCTCTCAAGAGTCGGGAGGTAGTGGACTGGAAGGTTTGGTATCGGCACATGCTGGAAGGGACCGGGTCAACGGGGGGTGATGATCATGAAGAATATGTGCTACGGAAGATGAAATCAATTAGCATTTCCGCAGAGCCTAGCAGGGAAAACATACTGGGAGCGGGAGGGTAACGAGAGATGGACGGCGTCGAAGGATACATCGGAGTCTCCAACTTGTCGTCACATCAACACGGACCAGCGATGTTGGAGCCACACGGGAGGCATTTGGGGGAAGAAATGCTGCATTGGGAGATATTAGTTGCTTTCTGGGACCAGAACTGCTTTATACCTCGACCTCCAACGGCTCCGCGTTTCATGTATCGCCCCACATAGTATCACACAGGGAGAACGCCAGTGGCAGACAGTGTCGGCAGCAGAATGGCCAGATGTTGCTGAAAACGCTTGGCACGGGTGAAAGAGGCCACGGGTGGCGCGTGGTATGTGTTTTCCGAGCCTGGAGGAGTACACAAGGAAGTGGCCAGCGATGGCATCCCTTTGGGAGCCAAATCAGGGCAGCTCCTGAGTCAACTCGGTCTCTTGTCAGAACGAGGGAACTGGGGACACCACTTGAATAACGAAGGGCGTTATAATTAGTGTCGTAGAGGGGAGTCCGACATCGATGGAAACCGGAGGAGGCAAAAGGCGGCTCCATATAAGGCGGCTCCATATAAGTATGCTCCCTTCGGGCTCTAGCGGTCAAAATTAGACAAGAAAAGTTCAATTTTCAAAGCTCTTGATGACGCACAATAAGGCCGCATAGCCACGCAAGAGAGCCGACCAAAGGTCAGCGGCGACGAGCTCGAGTAAAATCCAGACCCAAGGTGGTGTCAGGGGAAACCCTGATGCCGTCACTTGATCCCATCAAGCGCCGCGTCTCCGCTCGCGTCTCCGCGCCTCCGCTCGTGTCTCCGCGTCTCCGCACCCTGACGCTCTCCCTCCACTGCCCGCACCACATCCCACATCCAGTGATCCCCAGTCTTCGACTTCCCTGGCCACCCCTTTCCGGGAGTCTCTCCGCCGGCGGAGTCACCATCAGGGATCACTAATGCCATCGGAGACCTCTCCGGATGTGGACACACCACTTCCCTCCGAGACCTTGAGCCTATGGCCTTCTAGCCTCTCTGGGCTGTCACTTATCAAGGTCTCCCTACGATCTCTACCTGCTGGACCTCTTGGGTGTCCCCAACCCATGTCAGCGTCGGGGCTTATGTTCGGATGGCTGAGCCTTGCCATGGCTCCGCTCTCCACTCCGCCACCACGGCCCCCCGTCATCGGGCCTTCCCCTGGGTGAGGCCTACTGCCGTTAAGGCTCGTGCCTACTGCAGCGCCCCAGGCTGCACGCCCTCACACCTCCACCTCTCTGGAGACGTCCGGGGACGTCTCCGAGTGACCCCTGTCGCTACCCTCCAGTGGTCATGGCTGGCCGCCATTCCCATTGGTCCTCTTCGACACTCCCCGGCCCTTGGGCTAGACCAGACTCCTTCCCTTTCCGCTCCACGCCTTCCCTCTCCGTTTCCGGCCGTCACGTCACGGTCACACACCCGGAGTCGATTCCGATTCCGATTCCGATTCCGGTTGTCACGGTCACGGTCACAAGCGGAGACGCCCAGAGGCAGCCTGGACCTCCCGAAGCCCTTCTTAGGCCTTCTAGGGATGCCTGGGCCCCTCCCTTGGCATCACGGTCCCAAACCTGCCTCTCCGGAGCTTCAAGGGCTACTCGACACTCACCTAGGGTCCATTAGCGATGCCTGACTTATCCCATCCGTCATCCGTCACTATGCAGTCACTCTATCATTACTCCGGTCACTGGTATATAGTAGTGCACCTGGGCAGAGGGCTCCTTGGCTTGTTCTCTAAGGATTCCCCCTCTGCTCAGGTGAGTCTGTAGCGTCCCTTCCTGTTGTAGTAGTTCACTAAGGATTCCCCCTCTGCTCAGGACTCTGATTTCGAGCCTCGCGAGGTTGCCCTTACAGGTGGAGAGATGTGGGTGTCAGCTGGGTCTGTGTGGCCATGGTTTCGATATAGGATCCATGTGGGAAATGATGCATTGCAACCCGTGGCCAATTCTGTGGACGGCAGCCCGCAGTCGTTGAACCGGCCGTTTCTGAATGGGGTAGAATGTTGAGTGTTGAGAAGACTGTTGGCTAGAACCAAAGGAAATCGAATCTTACCTGCCCACAGCTTGTTCCAAATCCTTGCTCCGATGTTGTCGTATGCAGTCTCATGCACGCGGTCGTGCTGAGGCAACCCCGTATATAACCAGACTGTCGGTCATGCTGGGGGAAAGCCCTCTACAACCAGCGAGAGCGGTCGTGCTGAGGCAACCCCGTATATAACCAGACTGTCGGTCATGCTGGGGGAAAGCCCTCTACAACCAGCGAGAGCGGTCGTGCTGAGGCAACCCCGTATATAACCAGACTGTCGGTCATGCTGGGGGAAAGCCCTCTACAACCAGCGAGAAGGCCCCACGGATTCTAGGGAGTGTCAAATGAGCCATTGGCTGTATATCGTCTTGCTTACTGTTTGCGTATCGTTCAGTAATTAGAAGCCGCGGGTCGACCTCGACAATTGCAAGTGCATGCGCATGCGCATGCGCAGTGTACTGTGCAGTATGACCAAGCGTGACCTGACTTCCCGAGTGTGACTCACGCTTGACTGAGACTCACGCACGCATGGGCTCCTCGCAATCGCCTGCCTCGAAATCTAAAAATCGCCACCAAAGGCAGCAAAAACTCAAACTATCGCATACTGAGGAACAAGCTGCTTTGCAGAAACAGAAGGATGCGGGCAAGAGCGCAGCCCGGAGGTTGCGTCGCATGGCCAGGAATTCGGCAGAGGTGGCTCGGCGGTCGACCTATAGCCACAGCTTAGCTCCAGAGTGCGAGAGTCAGGTCGGCCGGGTAGTCCGCCGTCTGGAGAGCCTCCTCATCAAGACTGCCCACGCACAAGTAAAAGGCTCGGACTTAACGGGGCTCTTACCTACCCAGTGCCTCAATGACGAGGTTATGGACTTCTTTGGCTCACTAATCCTGGCTCGCTCTTCCTCACGCCCTGGGAGTGGCATATTGAACGTTTTGGTGCTTTCGGTCTTCTTTTGGAAGGCGTTGATCGATGGGTCGAGCAAGGTAAATCAATGGACTGATCGTGAATCGGTGTGTCTATCCTTCGCTCCATCTCGGAATTAACACAAAACTCCCCAGGTCGACATTTTCAGCAAGGACGCCATCCTCCTTCCAGTTCACCATGTGTCTCCTCCGCACTGGACGGCAGCGTCTATCAACTTTCGGAAAAAGAGGGTTGAGTCATATGACAGCTTGGGCAATGATCATCCTCAGGTTTATGAGGTTCGTGGATTGAGATAGAAAGCCTCGACTGAACCACTCATTATACAAGCTTTTGCGTGGATACATGGATAAGGAACATCTCCGGAAGAAGGGCGCACCCTTCAACTTTACGGGCTGGGTAAATCATACGCCAGGGTGCGAACCTTTTGCCGTAGTTATAGAGGAAAAGGAATACTGATCATGGGTCTCTCTTTGAATTTACAGGATCTTCCCAAACAAGATAACTCCTTTGACTGCGGCGTATTTACCTGCCAATACCTCGAGTCACTCTCCCGGGGCACAGATGATTTCGACTTCACTCAGAAGGACATGCCTTTGATTCGACGACGGATGCTGTGGGAAATCAGCTTTGTGACCCTGATCAGGAGGGATTAATCGACATCACGACTGGCCCGCCCCGTTTGTAAATGTGACTCCCCCCCAAGGCTATTCATGCTACCTTGGGTGCTGTAGTTGGTATTAGGCCATAAACTAAGGGTACATCACATTATTTGCAAGAAAACTCGAGTTCCGTCCGTTAAGGATATTTAATCTGTGTCCGTTAAGGATTCTTAATATACTTGACACTATATATATGCTACTGTAATTCTGTGTCCTCTGTCACCCACATCGGTCCCTCCATCGCTTCCACCAGCATATCTTCATCGTCATTGTCATCATCGTCCTCATCGTCATTCTCTTCCCCATCTTCATCCCTCTGCCTCTCGTTCACCTCCATTCCCAAAGATGTTGATTGGGGGATTTGCCTTTCAGTGCTCACTGCCTTACCAGGCAGGATGGAGCCTGTGAATCCTTGACGCCTGCTGAGTTTCTGTAACCGCGCCATGTGCTGACTGTTGTATCTCCCCTGTTGATTTCGATAGACCGCTACTTGATGAGCAAGCACTGGATTGCCCTGCTCGATCAGTTGCCGCTCGTGGTGTTTCAGATAGGTCACAAATCGTCGGATTTCTGCGTTGAGCTTCTCTAGTTCTTCGTCTGCCCGAATCAGCTTGAAATGCATATCCATCGCGGCCCGACCCTTTGGTTGGGCCCATAATTCGCTCCGAATATCAACCCGACCCCCTCGGAGAAGATCGAAGTCGGAAATGAAGGCGTAATTGACCACCTCATCCCAAGAGAGCTCCCTCTTTGCTGGAGTCATCATACCCGCCGCTGCATTGTACCATTCAAGGGAGGATCGAACCGCCTTGGACCTTGCCTGGAGAGCTCTGGCAATATGCATCCTGAGCTTATAGCCAGACATGTGGCACTTGTTCAGCTCGAAGATTCGGGAAACAACCAAGCCTTCGAGCTCATCTAGTGCCCTCTGGTACCGTCGTTTGCTGACCAGCTTGGCGGCCTCTTCCCACTCCAAATCTCCCTCGTGCCACCGTGTCATTATCCCCAGTTTTCGCTCCAGTGAATGTACGTTGTCCAGGTACTTGGCTAGCTTTTCATTTGCATGCCGACGTTGAGTTTCAAGCTTTAGTGTCTCTGCAGCGTCGTCCGGTAGGTCCAGCCGGCTCCTGACAGTTGGGGCGGGGGGAAGGAAGAGTCCATTCATTGCATTAACTCGGTCTCTGGTATTCAATTTTAGAATCATGTCTTTGAGAAATGTAAGACTCAACTGTTAGTCATAGAATACCACCAGAGCTTGATAGTACTCCATCTTGATTGTTTCTTCCTGAGGCTCCTTGGTAAGGCCTTCCAGAAACTCCGCCTCCTTCAGCAACCATTCATCCAGTACCGCCCGATTCTCTACCCCCATGGCGGCCAATGCTTCATCAAGAGCAGTTTCTGTCTGCTTAATTCGCAAGGCCTCTTCATACTTGCTGCATAGCAAGTTTGCTGATAGATGGATCAGTACCAGCCTTTGAAAGCCTTTCCCACTTACACAAACCCGCATATGCATCTGCGATATTGGCGTGCTCGATGTAGCCGACTATCGTCTGGTGCCGATGGAATCTAGAGGCATATCTTGTTGTGGATGCCAACGCATTCGACTTTGAAAACCAAGTCTTGCAGTTCTTCCCCGACTCCAGGCCAAATTCCTTTCGATATCGGGGAAGATGTTCTACCTGGCGCCTTGGGAGTGGCCAGGGCCGTGGAATGCGCCGAGGAGGCATTGAAATCGGTCCGGCGGGCCAATGGGCCTAGAATTGGATGCTGGAGGACTGCTTTATTGAAGTCGCAGCCGACATCGTAGGCGAGGGCCAATTCTTCCAGAACTCGAATGACATAGTTGATGAGAGCGAAGCCGTACTTTTGCCTAAGCTTTTGTCAGTTTAAGTCGATGTCCGTTAAGGATATCAGCTCACATTTCGCCACTCCTCACCATGTCAACGATAAGGAAGCCAAAGCTATGCCTGCATATGACGGGCATAACACCAGTCTCATCGTACATTGAGAGGGATTTTCAGGTGGACTCCTCATCCATATTCTTCCGTCGCTTCTCCTCGCAGCCCTTGTCTTCGAAAGCGGGCGGCTCTTCTTCCTCTCCCGGGTAAACCTCCTTGAGCTTCTCCATGGCCCCCTTGTCCCGCATATCCACCTCTTCGCGAGACAGATGATAGTCTCCTGGTGGGGGTCGACTGTCCATTCGTTCGGAAGATCTCCCAGACACAGCGGTGCCGTCGTTGGGGTTGTAAACCTTTGGGGTTCGCCGTTTGAATCTCTTCAAGGAATTGTTCCCATCTATGGTGAGCTGGATGGGAATCTCCAGCTTCTTCTCCCCTTCAATCTTGTGAAGGCAAGCGGGGCAAGCATTCCGAAGCCGCCAATCCTTGGAATCTCGCTTCAGCACAGCCTTCACTCGCCGCCTTCCTCCAGAATGGCGAGATAGACTTCGTAGGCGATGCGGAACTGGCTAGCCAGATAAGGATGAGGTGCAACGCCTTGAAGATCGAAGAGAGTCCGAATGTAGCTCTGAACCCCGAGTCGTGGGCAGCGAGAGCGATCTGTCGAAAGACTTCAAGAGTTCGGATGGTGAATACGAGGTTGCATTTGAAGGCGGATGATGGGATGAGGCCCTGCCGGGCGCAAGGACGAGGCAAGTGTGCCCTCGCCATGAACCAGAGGTATATCCATTCGTCGAGTTGCTATCGGAAGAGAAAGTTAGCGGGAGGACGAAGGGCCAGGAGCAAAAACTCACAAAAAATATCCACCACCACCGTATCCATCCAGTCATCCACTTCGACGACTCTGGGGTACGAAAACAGCTGGCCAAGGCCTTGTGCTGCCGTGTCGTAGGCCCATTCCATATATCGGGTGGCCATTCCTCCGCGCTCCAATGCAAACGCGTCAATCGTTACTTGATTCCGGTTGGACTGGTTGCGTGTGTCTCGGGGAGGGCGGTTGTTTATTTTTCTGAGATTTTGTTGGCTGGAGTATGCAAGAAAGAACGGACAAACCGTTGGTAATCCCGTAGACCAGCCAGCAGCGCATCCTCTGCTCCATCGCCCTCCTCCTCCTCCTCCTGTGAAGCCACTCGTGCTTCACCCTCGTCCAACTGGGTTTGCCCTCTGAGCACATCTTGCCCAAAGTCGTCGTCCACATCCATATCGACCCAAGCTCTTTCTTCGGCGAGCCGCTCTGTTGCGGAAAGGCCTGGATACTGGTTCATCAGTCACTTGTGCCATAGAAGATGCGTTGCAACGTACGTGCAAGGCGCTGCTTTTCCTCCTCCCGCCCCTTCTCGTTGTGAAGGACGACTTGAGCGGTCGACATTGACTCCGTACGCTTGCCGAAGCGGTCAATGCCGTTGCCAAGCCGCATACGACTGGAGGAAAGACTGCTGGTCACTCCACCCTTCGTTCTACAATCTGCGCCCAGGGAAGACTGCACGTGAGCAGTCACGCCGTGACACGACGTGTTATCAACAAACCACGACCATCAGGTCAGTTAGTCGTTTCCTCCCCTGGCCACAGCGCTGTCAGCTGCCTTGAAGACTCAGCCATGGGACTCTGGCTAGTCTGATAGTGTCGCTGTGGCCAAACGCCGTCTGTTCCCGCATTGCACAGCGCTAACCTAGCTCACAGAGCCATGCTGTGGACCGTTTCCTCACGCCAGGTACGATTCACTAAACCGCCCGCCATTTACTGGCACAGCATAGACGCGCAGTGGTGCCAATTTCGCCTCCTTCTTCCAAGAGGCCAACTTCTCCATCGCGACCCCCCTCCTCGCCGCTCTCTCTGTGGAATCGGATGGCCAAAGGGATGAAGAAGAGGGCGACGACCAACGACCAACAAACCCCGACCCTTATTCACCAGACGTGGACGAGACGCCCCCTCCGCTGAAGAAACTGAGGTTGGACCCCGCTCAGCAGCAGCCAAAGCTGACTGGCTCCCACCAGCGCCGCCGCAGAAAACGGGAGACGGAGATTATTGAGAACGGACACCACCCGCGGTCGGCCACGGCAGCGAAATTCGTCCACCCTGCCCAACGATTGAGGCCGATATCTCAGCAAGCTCCCTCCCTGCAGCCCACGGCGCCTATTCGGCCAAACGCGAAAGCTCAGACGAGCTATCCGGCAAGAAATCGAGGAAAACCAAGGAGCAACTGCTCCAGCAGGGATTCCAGCTCATCCCCTGGGACGGAATGTGCGTCTTTCTTTTTTTTTTTGCCACTTCTAATACCTTATAGGGATCCGCGTCCCTTAGTTGACTCCGCTGGTCGAATCTTCGCCGTTCTGGCTGGTCAACCTAGAAGCAGCAGCTATGCCACCTCCGCCAACTCGGTGTATGAGGCTGTGGCTCGGGCAGCCCGGCGAGCAGCGATTTCCGTCCCCACCGCTGGCCACAGGCGAGGACTCTTCGCCGCGGTCACTGTCGGAATATCTTATGGCCAAGGCCAAACCGTTCCCGCCTGGTTGGACGACAAGCACCCCGAAATTTCAGAAGATTTACTGCAGGATCCCCATGTGGCTAGGATGGTGGCCTTCGGCGACGGTATGTTTAGAGACGGGCTCATTCACATTCTGATGCCATTTTCAGCCGCGTTTTCTCTCTGGGCTCCTAGATTGTATGCATATTATCAAGATAATAGCAAGCTACTCCATGAACAACTGCCTTTCCTACGAAAAGCCTTCCCGAAGTCGGTCTTCTCCAGCGTGGCCTTCAACCTGGGCACGAATGTCTGGACGTTTCGCCACCGAGATATTCTCAACCTGGCCTTTGGCTGGTGCGCCATATACGCGCT